CCCCCATCTGCTATTTTATCCTGACATTGGTTATGCCATATGTAGAAATTTGGTTTTCCTCTGACTCAATTGTGGGAAAAAAATCATACGGCCATGATAGGAAGCGAAACCAAGACGAACAGGCGACATCTTCGGGATAGCCAGCACTCTAATCAACCAAGCTTCGGTTCTGCAGAGGTAGCCGTAATATTAACCCCGCGTGAGTCAACTTACTTGTCCAGGCTACTGTTTAGTATACAATCTAGCAAGTGCCATACAGTGAACTCAGTTATGCTACAGCCTGTAGTCGTCAATGAGTGGCGAGCAGGCGCGCTGGACAGTTTCACTCATTTTTACTCCGACACTGATAAAGGAAATCTGTATTGAGCTTACACTTATTGAGGGTTTTTGTTGTGTCATCTGTTCGGCAGATCCCAAAAGGCACAACTGTACGTTCGGCAATAACATGAGAATTTGGCATAGCGAGTTGAATTTCGTACTTTAATCGCTTCGACGAGCATTCTGAAATGGCTTGGGATATACCTACGATGTTACGTGCAGTTTAGACTGTAGTCTCAGGGACAAAGCTAGTGCAAATTCATACGCAGTACCATCCTGAGGCAACGGGGGACAAACAGCTCGTGTTGCTGTTTTTTCCATTTTCTCGGTCAAAAGATTAAAAATATTTCAGTTACTGCGTGGTTACAGAATCGACAAAACGAATGTCCTACGACGGTTCTGACACTGGGCTTGTTCAAAACCATTTGCCTCAATGATGTCATTCACTGAGGCAAGATGCACTGATCTACAAACAGTTGACCAAATTCCATTCTGACACACAGACTTACGCCCAGATAATCATGGCTGCTAAAGCCCAATTTTAACGTACCCTCATCTTGGCCTACACAACATATCTAATGGACACGACATTTCGCGGTAGACGGAAAATGCACAAATTGGAGAACAGCTGAACATACCAAAACAATTGCCACCATTTTCTCGCTCTCTGGTCTGATTTGATGCAGGAACCATGGCTGTCTGCAACAGCTCTAAAACCGGATTTAAGGTTTCGGTAGTTACCTCTGAGGATAGGTCCGACACTGAATCCAAAATGTCAGACAAGTAAACTGCCTGGTTCAGAAATCGCATATTCTACTTCTGATTAACTGAGTTCGTGGGTTGCAACAAAATCACTGCGGCGGACTGAGTTACATCCCAACCAAAATTAGTAGTTCTTTTTCGTATTTTATTCCAATACTGGTTATGCCTTTTGTAGCACGTTAATTCTTATCTCACTCATTTGTGAACAAGTAAACGGTCATGATAGGATTCAAAGCCACGACCGCAAGGGGACCTCTTTAGGCTAGCCAGCGCTTTAATCACCTGGCCTGTGAGGCTGCAGAGGGAAAGATGACTTTAATCCCACTTGAGTCAATTTACTCGCCCAGACTCCTACCAGGTATAGATTCCTTAAAGTGCCATGCAGTGAACTGAGTTATGATACAGTGTGTTATCCTCAGTCAGTGGCGGGCAGAAGCGCTAGACATTGAGAGGTCCACCCATGATTACTCTCGCACTAAAAAGCTCTCTCTAAATCGCTAACACTTACTGAGGGTTTATGCTGTACCATCTGCTCAACCAGTTGCCTCAAGGTCATTCCAATTCACAGAGAAGGTTTTCAGATGCACTGCCCTGCAAACAATTGATCAAATTACATTTCGACACACAAGGGTTTCTGTGGTCCTCCTTTAACTCACCCCATCTTGACCTATTCAAGATATTCAATGGAAAAGGTGCCGCTCGGGTAATGTCAAACGCACCAATTGGAGAACAGTTACCACCACTGTACCAGCCTCTCTCTCCCTCTGGCCTGATTGGATGCAGTCAATACTAAAACTAGTTTCGTCTGTTGCCAATGTCGCCTAAAAAGAGATCTCTGATTCCCAAGCAAAATCTATCTCTCATTCTCGTACCTTTTGTCTTTTTCTAACAACCCAAGATTCGGCCTGATGATCGTGGATCTCCCAGCACACCCACAGGTCAGACACCAGACCGTTAGACACAGATAGGAATGCAAAGGTCAATACAGGTTGATAAAACTGCACTAACTACGCCTCTATCCCCGCACCTGCCGTCACTGAATGTGGACTGTTTGGCTGGCACCGTGTGCAGTCATTTCTTTTCCTACCTCAATCCATGCGTCATTCGTTGGCTCCCCGATACCACCGTACCACGGTGACTTATATAGGTGAAAATCTCTAATGATGGGATTTCTTTTTGCCACTGTAGCATCTGAGTAGTGGTTGTGCTGAGAGCACTTCAATAATCAGATCGAATCCCAGGCTGTACGTAAAAGGCAGAGGGCAAACAGGTGAGGTACTTATTGTGCGCAGAAGCCTGCATTGCTGTTTCATGCAGCCTTGGCCACCGGCCGACTGTGTCCAGTCGTGCCCGGAAATGTGTGAATGTATATGTGTGTG